AGTTTAAATGCAAAATCTGAAAATGTAAGCAATCATTTAAAATCATTATTTAGATTTTCATTTATCTCTGACATTATCAGAAATAAGTAGTTAAAAGCTTTGTTTAAAATTATATTAAGTTTTTAAGGGCCTTTCCAGTAGGGGTACATATTAAACAATTCAGGAAGCCATAGCTTCCTGAATTCTCTTCCTCTTCCAAATTTCATCAAATTTTTTATATTTCCTAGGAAAAATAAAAAAAAACAAAAACATTTACATCAGATCTTTTTATACATTCCATCATATCCACATTCCATCACATTTTCATTCCATCATGTTGTGTGAAACCAGATTTAAAAGTAATAAAAATAAATAAAAATTGAAATCAAACAAATTAAAAGTGTTAAAAAGCATACCATCTAATTTTTCAATTCAATAAGTTGCTATACTTTTACTTTATCAGTATTATTAGTTTTTTTGATATATGTTACAGCGTTTAAAATAAGAAATCGAAGGCGAGCGGTCAATTTGCTCAACTAACCCTTGGAATTGACGGTCAACTGTTTTTTTGGACGGTCAACATTTTTATTATTATCTTTGTTTTCATTTAAATCTTTGTAATAGTTCTTCATGACTAAACTTTATAAATACAAAAATAATTTAATATTTGATAATGAATTAGTATTCCTTTTTTAAACTTGCAAATAACTAACATTAAAATTACACGTAACATTAAAATTACACGTAACATTAAAATTACACGTAACATTAAAATTACACGTAACATTAAAATTACACGCCAATGTTTAAAATCAAGCGTGCAGATTTTTATTTTTTTTCTTAAAGGAAATTTGATAAATTGATAAACTTTTTAAGAAAGTTTGATAAATTGGATAATATCCAATTCATTTAATTAGTGACGTCACTTACCAACGCCACTATTAAACTAATTATGTTTTTCACTAATTAACAGATTAAATTATATTATATATATATAAATTATATTATAATTAACAGATTAAATTATATATATAGCATGTAAAGACATTAAAACATATAAAGACATTAAAAAAAAAAAAAAATAGTTTAAGCAAATAAGCGCTAATTAAACCATTATATATATATATATATATATTTTTCTTAATGATAGTAACTACGCTTAAGCTTAATTATTATCATTTTAATTTTAATTTCGATTTAAATATTATCAATTCTGTTTATTCAACTTTTACTAAAAGTTAAATGAAGAGTTTTACTGATAATATCCACTTTGCTTTAAGACACCTTTTTTTAAAAAATGAATTAAAAAAAAATTATAATTTATAATTTAAATATTTTGTAGATTAAATAAGTTACAATTACTATGGATTTTTTTTAAAAATTTAAGACGTTACAGTTTTAAAATAACTAAAACTTTTTATACAAATTTTCTAATTTATTTTCATCGTTATTTTTATTCGAGTCAAGATAAAAGAGAATAAGAAGAGAAACAAAACTTTCTGAAATAGTTTTCGCTTTACTAACGCCAAATAAAAAAGATCAAGTTCATTCATTTTTAAATTTCGCAAATACTAAATTATCAGAAGAATTGAAATTTTTACTTTTTTTCGTGAACAAAATGTTTTTAATATTAAAGCATCATTATAAATGGTTAACTTTGAGTAAACAATTATAAAGTTAGAAGACAAATTTTTTCGAGATTAATGCAACTATTATACATTATATTATTATTAAAATAATATATTACATACTGTTACTGTTATATACTTTATTAAGTTCATAATAAAATAAGAACTTCAATCATATATAAAAAAATGGTTTTCACCACCAATAAAATGAAAGTAATTTAATAAAACGAAGAAAAGAATTATTAGATGTCATGTCTTATGTTATATTCGTTAGCGAAAGGAATTTTTAAGTAACTTATTGTAAACAATAAGCCTAATTTGAGCACTTTTTCAAAATTTTAATGATTATATGATAATTTAGTTCATGCTTTTTCTAAATAATAACCTGATTATTTTTCAAATCTTGTTTTTTAAAACTCTTATTATTTTTTAATCAGTCAACCATGATCGGCAAGAATTCATTTTGGGCACTGATCTCAAAATATAACTGGATAGCGGATTCTATTGTTTTTTCCGAAAAAAGTTGAAGCCAAAATTGGCCTCCCAAGATGGCGGCGATTTTAGTACCTAGCGGTAAAACCGATATATATTATATTTTACTTTATCAAAATACAAAAAAAAAAAAAAAATTAAACTTTTGTAAACTTGTAAGAAACAGAAGAAAATAATGAATTTTATAATTAATAATAAAAAAAAAGGAATTATCTTTTTTTATAATTGAATTTATTATTAAATGGCATTAGTAAAATTTACAATTTTAGTTTTATGTATAATTTATGTACCTTTTAGTTCTTAGCTACCCAATGCTGTATGCTAGAAAGTTAATAACATAACAGCATGTTAAGCAGCAATCATGTCTACCTATAATTTTATATTCTATATTTTTTGTAACAAGATACCAATTTGTAAAAATGCTGCATGAACTCTTAATTGAGAATTGTGAGTACACAGAAACTCAAGGGTTTCTTCTAGAATTATATTACACTTGAATGCTATTATTGCATAAATTGTCACTTGTACTGTTAAGAAAACAGGTCTGAATTATGTTATTTATAACAAATTTTAAAACAAATAAAAAGTTAATGATCATTTCTTACTTAATTACTCAATACAAATAAGGATGCAAATGTATGTAAAAATACATTTGTTTGAAAAAAATGTATTAAATAAATCTTTAATATAAAAATAATCAAAACATCTCTTTGAAATATCTTCATACATTACAGCCACATATATATCTTCATCTCACATATATATGATCTTGAGCGTTCAATATTAAAATGGAATAATCACAAGTATCTACATAATCTTGGTAATATTGACCACGATTATGCAGAAATTCCAAATTGCAGCATTCTATTTGAATTCAAAAAATTTCATAGATTGCTGGATAAACAGCTAAAATGATATAAAATAAATAATCTGCATTAAATGTATATATTTATATTTATACAATATGTATATAATATGTAAATATGTATATATGTATATATATATATATATATATATATATATATATATATATATATATATATATATATATATATATATATATATATATATATATATATATATGTATATATATATATATATATATATACAAACATATGTGTGTGTAGTGATTTTAGAAGAATACAACCAAATAAAAAATAATGTACAAATAATTACATATAAAAAAATTCTAGAAGGAACCCCTGAGTTGTGTATACTCACAGAGCTCAGCTAATAGTTCATGCAGCATTTGTAAATTTATAATATCTATTTAAAAAACTAATTAAAAGTTTATTTTAAAAAGATATTCAGCTGCCTACCATGCAGTTATGTTATTAACCTTCTAGCACACAGCATTGGGTAGTTAAGAACTAAAAGGTACATAAATTGTATAAAAAGCAATATTAAACAATTAATTTATGGTAAAACTAAATAAATGTTATAATATACCATTTATTTACTTTTCATTTTAGTTTTACCATAAATAAACTTTTTATCTGTATATCATATAAAAATAAAAAATGATTAAAATGATTTCAGTCTTTCACATTTCAAACATTTATTTTAGTTGTCTAGAAATTGTTAATAACTACTAGAGTCTTATTTTAATTCCACTAATAGGTTATAACTAGTTATAACTAATAGGTTATAACTAGTAATAAGCTATTAATAATAGGTTATCACTAGTTATATAGAGTAACCTAGTAGTTTATCTACTAGGTTTTAGGTACTATTTTTTTGTGTGCTCTTTACTAATGTTAAAATAAACTAGTTTCTAATTAATTTAACTAAAATTTTTTATACTATTTAATCAAATTTTTTACAAAAAAAAAAGATTTAATGACAAACAAACTTACTGTTTAGAAATTACTTACTGTTTAGAAATTAAATAAAATAAACTTACTGACAAACTTACTGTTTAGAGTATATTTTGTTAAACAAAATATTATAAATATTTTAGAAATTTACGTAAATATGTAATACTGTTGCTATGTAAAACCAAAAATTATGTTTGTATTTGAGACTTGTACATTTATTTTTATATAAAAAAAGATATAAAAGTTCGTTACGAAAATTTCTAAATTTGTAATAAACAAATACGCCGCCATCTTGGGAGGGCAAAACTGGCTTCAAAAAATTTGCCGTATACGCTATCCAGTTATATTTTGAGATCAGTGATTTTGGGAGGTCAAAATAGCAATTTTACTCATTTTGGGCGGTCATTGACCATTGACCGGTCGTTATTTTACACGCTGTATGTTTGATATAGGTACATATGGTACATATAGTCTTAGCTGATCATAAATAGGTTGTTGCTATATTGTTAGCTGATCATAAATAGGGCTGTTGCTAAGGAAGTTTTTAATATTCTTTAATTTAAACATTTCTTATGCAATGATTAAAAGAAATTTTTTAGTTAAAATGTTTAAACTTTTTCAAATTACACATTTTCATGCATATTTATATAAGATTATACATTAGTTTTTATTTGCTTCTACATTTAAAGTAAGTTTTTGTAAAAAAATTTATAAAAATTTTGTAAATATATTTATTAAATGTAAAATTTAAACATGAGGACTAAAGCTTACATTATGTACTATTTATTATTTTTTATTTCATAAAAATCTTAAGATGTCAGAATAGGTTTTTATTGGTTTTCATTGGATTTAATGGATTGACTCTAGTTTATAGATCTGGTTTTAGGGTTTATTTTTTTCTTATTTTCATATTTTAATTTTTTTTTAAATCCAATTAAGTTTATAGATATAAACACATAATTTGTATATAGTTTTATATAATGTTGTTTAATGGTTTAAAATAATATTGAATGGTTTAAAGTATTTTAAATAATAAAATTTAAAATACTTGTTTTGATATAAATTTATTTCATCAATATTTCAGGAAATTGATCATTACATTGCTCGTGCACAGAAAAGTAGTTATGCAACTTTGGTTGATGTTGGTAAAAAAGGTTTTAATGTAGCTACTAACACTTTAATGAAGACTGCTATCACAGTAAGTTTTTAATGACAGCTATCACAGTAAGTTTTTAATGACAGACAGCTATCACAGTAAGTTTTTAATGACAGCTATCACAGTAAGTTTTTAATGACCAACTGCTATCACAGTAAGTTTTAATTTTATACAGTGCTTAAAGTGGAAAGAAAGAAACCAGATGGTCTTAAGTTTTTTTATATAATATCCCTCCTAACCTTTGTTATATTAGGAGAAATATAATAAAATGGCAAGGTATTCTTTATAAAGAAGTACTGAGATGATATTATTATTTTTGCTTAGTGTCAATGATGCTTTGTGTTGATCTTATTCACCAATAATATATATATATATATATATATATATATATATATATATATATATATATATATATATATATATATATATATATATATATATCATATCATATCATATACCTGTCATGCCTTTCTTTTTGGCAACTTGCCTTTCTTTAAATTCAGTTTATACATCTAGTTCGGCACATTTTTCACTAATAAATGATTTGACTGCTGAATGTAGAACTTCAAAAGCTGCATTGTTTCTCATATCAACAAACTTTTTTTTGTAACATTAATCAACTATTTTGTGAATAAAACATCTATCTTTTCATAGTAAATAAAATATACGTAAATAAAACTATAAAAATACGTAGGAGAAGTGGGGGCTTAACCGCATAAGGAGGCACAACCGTTTTTTAACATTTCCTTTAGAAAAATATTATCTAATATGGCAAAAAACATACCACGCGTTAGTAAAACAGTTTCCTTTATTTTGCATATGTCAAAAAGTGTGCTTGTTACGTTTCTGAGAAATTGTGCATAATAATGTTTATTTTGATGAAAATTTTATATTTACATCATATTTTTCCAGACCTTTTTTTTGAGAATTAAGCAATATTTGATTTTAGTGTTAAAGACATGTGTTATCAGCATTATTTCATCAAGTGAAAACCATTTTTGATATCAGCATAATCTAATAAGCAAGCTATGAATCTGAATTCTTTCTTAAAACTCTCTTCTGGGGCAGAACTCTCTTCTGGAGCAGAACTCAAAATGTAAATATAAAGAATGCCCGCAAATTATGCAAACATGCAACAAAATCATCAAATAATCTGAGCTGTGAAAATTGTAAAAAAAATGTACGATGTACCCCAAACGATTTTTGTGAGGGTGCGATTGTGCCTCACAATGGAGGCAAAACCGTTTTTTTCACTAATTGTACTTTTTGTAAAATAAAATTTTCAAAAACCGTTAAATTTTTTTCTTAATTGCATCAATTTAAAGCTTAATGATGTGGTTATTGAAGTAAACTAGTAAAAAAACACATTTCATTTTTATCTTCATCTAACATTGTTCCAAACTTTACGGGGGCGGTTATGCCTCCACTTCCCCTATAAAATTTGTAAAAAATTGTAAATAAAACAAAAAAAATATTTAACAACTATTGCAAAAATAACATTAGAAAAACAAATGAATGTTTTTTTTATTAAACTGATAGTCTAATAGCTTCTGCGCTAACATTTCCTGTATGTTCTTAGAATTCTCCTAGATTTATATTATTTAGAGTGGTTAGAATAGCTGAAAAAGATTTAACAGCAGCATCAACTGCATGCTTCCTGCTTGTCCATCTTGTATCAGAAAGCTGTTTCAGAGTGTCTTCTGTTGATTCATATAGACGTTTCTGGTGCTCTTGCAGAATATGAAGACGTAATATTAGACATAATGTACGCATACAATTTTTCAGTTATGCCAAAATACAACTGGATATCGCTGTTTGCAGAAGTTGCTTTGATGGTCACCAAATTTAAAACATGAGCACAACCATGAACATAGGAAGCATTTGGTGAAAGCATTATTAACCGAGTTTGAAGACCACTTTTAATTCCAGACATTATAGAATCACCATCATATGCTTGTCCTCTGCAATAAGTTCAATATTGATGTTTTGTTTTGTTCAAGCTTAGATAAAATTAACTCAGCAAATGCTTCAGTATTACTGTTTTCTAAAGTATAGAAGCCTATGAATCTTTCCACAACATCACCTGATTTTAAAACCAATCATAACGAAACTGACATCTAACCAATTCTGGAAATATCAATAGTTGAATTAGCGAAATAAACTGGGCTAATTCAACTTCATTATTGATTGTGGATGAAATTTCAGAAGCAAGCAATTGAATTAAATTATTTTGTAGATCATGACATAAATACAATTCATTCCTCTTCTCATACCTAAGATGATTGTTCAAAGTAAGATCATATTTGGCTAATAGAGTTAACAGTGCAAGAAAATTGCCAGCGTTATTAGCTGTACCTTTACTATCACCCATTTTGCAATGTTGATATACTCTGTCTTCTAAATGATAAATCTTCTTTTGCTAAGAATGTATATCATTCATATGAAAACTTCTCTATTCTTTTCTACTTGGCAACACTCATGACTAATCAAACCAGATATTGCAGTTTTATCATTTGAAATATAACATTTATTTAGCAAATATTAGCATATTGCATTTTGATGCTGGTGAGAAGTTTCGTGTTTAACAATTTTTTTCGTACCTTTTTTCCACTTTGTAAACTCCTGTTGCTGTATCAGACCATTCTTTGAATTAGTAGTTTATAATGATTTGGTAATTAGTAATTACCATTATCATTTGTCTGCTCGAAGTAGTGTTGAAATCTTTCAGCAGGTGTTTGATTAAGTTAACGTTGTCTAACGACTTGATTATTCATTTGTTCTTTTTTATTCCCCCCTCGACCTATACAAAATCAGCTACTGATATATATATATCATCCGGGATAATGCAAAACCGCGTAACTAGCATTGGATAAAATTGTGTATCTACAGTACAGTTTTTTTATTGAAGAAGGTTAAAACTTTATATATTTTTTTATTTCAACAGATTTTGGGTTTATTTTAGTATAAGGAGTATTATTCGTGTTTTTTGTAATGTCAACAATAGATATTAATAACATCCAAATATAGTAGCCAATTCTAGTTACACGGATTTGCACTATCCCCGACGCTATATATATATATATATATATATATATATATATATATATATATATATATATATATATATATATATATATATATATATATATATATATATATATATATATATATATATATATATATATATATATATATATATATATATATATATATATATATATATATATATATATATATATATGTATATATATATACATACACATATATATATATATATATATATTTATATATATATATATATATAAATATATATATATATATATATATATACATATATATATATATATATATATATATATATATATATATATATATATATATATATATATATATATATATATACATATATATATTGTTTATTGTATATATGTAAATTTATATTATATAGTAAAATTTTCAATTTTTTTTGTTTGATGTATCATTTTTTAAATTTTCCAGGGTCAGTACCAAATTTTAGAATCAATTCGTCGTTATAATAGTATGCAAGAGCTTGGTGATGCAGATCATACTGATGCTTCTGAAAGAAAACAATCATCACGATATAACAATTATCAACCTCCAATTAACATAAACTACAATCCTGAAAATGACATAGATATGTTACAATCTCAATATGAACCTCTTGTTGATGTACGTGAAGAAGAGAAAAATCTTCAAAGAGCCGTCCTTCTAAGTCAATCTGAAATGTAGGTGTTGTATTAACTATAGACTTTTTGTTTTACCAACAAAATAGAAAGTGAAAACTATGTGCAATATTTTTACTTAGGAGTTATTCACATGAGTCAATCCAAAAGAAAACTTATGATGAAGAACAACTTGCACCACAGATAAGCAATGATTTGTACACATCAGTCTCAACAACTAGCTACTCTTCTAACACTCTTCCAAGAGTTAGAAAGTCTAAGAAACCAATTTATGAAGTAAGTATAATTTCTTTTTACATAAAATGTTTTGAATAAAGTTTGTGAAATTGTAAATTAACTTTTTCATCTTGAAAATATTAGAAACAAATAAAAAGTATTTTGTATTGAACAGTTGTTTTATGTATTTGAATACATTTAATTTAATGTTCAATTTTTACGTTAGACCATGCCTACTAATCGAACTGCTAGTAGACAAAAGCGCGCAGATAAAAGACAGACTAACTTATAGTGACTAATATACAGGTGTGTTTTTTGACTTAAATCTGCCATTAGTTGCAGAGGTACAAAGTTATTATTTATTTTTTGATTTATAAATAAACTAGATTTCGGTATTTTACTATATTAACCAACTCTTATTTTTTTATTTGTTACTGAAAATTTTAAATACGTTTGTTAATAATGTGCTTATAATGCTCTATTGTTTATATAGTTATGTACTTGATTAAATAAATATGTTTCTAACTATATTATTATGTTGATGCATTAGTTGAGTAACTACAGTGTTTTTATCTTGATGTGTTAATTGAGAATCTTTCTTAAAGGAATTCTACGGTGGTTCACTTCAACGTTGGCTAATCTTAAACCATATAGTGAAACAACTTGTTTAGTTTAAATTTAGAAGAAACATAAGAAAATAAGCTTTATGTTAATTAATTTATAGTAGTTATATTATATTTAAAAAAGTTCCAAGTCCGAGTAAACTGATTTTAAGAATTTTTATAAAAGTGCTAATTTACTAAAATCTTATCTAAATAATATGATGAAGATCTTGAAATGATCTGAAAAGAATATGATAGAGATATGATAAAGGTTTTCGAGATATGATAAAGGTCTTATTGTAATTATGACTCAAAAAGTTGAAAAGAACATTTAAGATTTTATTTTTTAATTTAAAATTTTTATTTTTTACAGAGCAATTTTCAATTTGACAAAGATGATGGTTACAATGATATTTACAGTTCGTATATTGACGTTAAAAGCAACTATGGGTCTTTTAAATCAGCGATGATAAGAACTGATAAGTTATATTAGCTACTCCTCTCTTGAACTTATATAAACGAAGAAACTATAAGTATAAACGAACACTTTTTCTTTTACCATTTTAGTTTATTTTTTGAAAGTTTCTGCGATGTAAAATATAGCTGTGATTTTAAGCTACTATGTGGTAAATTTTATTTGTATATTTTGGATAATTTTTATGTTTCTTTCAAGATTTTGGTTATTTTTTATACTAATGTTTGTAACTACGGTTTGGTTTGACCAACTTTTTTTGTTATAAGTTGTGATATTTATTAATTGAATCTTTAAAAAAAATTGTGTCACGTATTCCAAGTAAGTACGGAAGAAGTAAATTTAATTCTAGTGCTAAACATCAAAATAATTTCAAATCGTTGCAGTATATGCTTGTAAACAATAATTTAGAAAATGTTGACAACGAATGATTTTTATTGTATTAAAGTTCAGCGAAATGAGTTGTTTTAAAACATTGAAATTTTTATATTCTATGAATATATATTTTAGTTTTTTTATACCAGCTATAATTATTTTCTACTATCTTTATTATATATAAGTTAAAAAAAACAAAAACATTTATTAAGAAGACATCGAAAAAAAAAACACATTAAGAAATAGCTAAAGATTTTGTTGACAAATTATTTTTTTTATAAAAAATTAATTTTTAGTTTAAAACATCCGATTTTCATGCCCAATCTTACATTATAAACGTCTTAATTATACTTTCATACCCGCATCAAACTTGATGGGACAAGTTTTTATATAATAGCATAAAAAGAGTGTGGCCACGGCCAGTCATTCATATTCATTAAGCAACAAAAAAAAAACAACCGTAATATTATTAAAATTTATAAATATGTAACAATGGTTTAACTACGAAATAATTGTTAAATTTGCTTGCGTCAATTTTTTATTTCATTTTTTAATGTTTCAAGGGTCGTCTAAAATGCGGGTTTTTTTTTTTAGTTTTTGTAAAAATAATTATTTGAAAATGTATACTTTTACATGTTTGTCTTGATTTAAATTTTTTTTTTACTTAATTTACTTTTTTGGAAATCGTATAAAAGTTTTCCTCCTTAGCAACGTTCATTTGTTGTTTTGAGCATGAAAGTATAGGTAAGAATGAAGATTGGATACTAAGGTGTTACTATGGTGTTTTTAACTAAAAGTTATGTTCATTTTTTAATAAATTTAATTGTCATAAAAGTTTTTTCAGTTCTTTTATTTAATCCTCAATTATAAAAGACATTACACTTTTATATAAAAACGCGTTTATTCATATGTTAAAATAAACTGAAAAATATTTTTATTTAACATCTGAATATACTCTTGAACTATTGCTGTTGTTTTTTTGTAAAAAACGTTTCGTGTAGTGTTTTATCAAATTTTTATGAAAAACTTTTATCTAACATTTTATTTATTAACTTTAATGTTAAAAAATAAAAATAAATGAAGAAACTAAAGAGAAAATTTAATTGAGATTGTATCACTAATAAAACAAACTTCAAGAGACAACAAGTCTTTAGGAAGAAATTGATAATGTCACAATCTTTACATAAAGCTTCTTTATGTAAAACTAAAACAATACTACAATATTATTATTTCAATAAGTCAATTAAATTTTCTCTTTAGTTTCTTCATTTATTTTTATTTTTTAACATTAAAGTTAATAAATAAAATGTTAGATAAAAGTTTTTCAAAAAAATTTGATAAAACACTACACGAAACGTTTTTTACAAAAAAACAACAGCAATAGTTTTGAGTGGGTGACACCCCCTCTCTATCAATGAATATTTTGTTCATTTAGTCGGCAAATTTGACCCTTTTCGACAAGTTAGTCGGTAAACTTAGACAGTTAGTCGCAAATGTCGTTAAGGCAGTCAGCAAATTTCAAAAAACGAGGACCTTATTTTTTTTTTTAGTCGGCAAAAGTTGTGATTGCACCCCCTCCCCCACCTGACACCTACTCGCGCTGGCTCTTTATATATATATATATATATATATATATATATATATATATATATATATATATATATATATATATAAATATATATATATATATATATATATATATATATATATATATATATATATATATATATATATATATATATATATATATATATATATATATATATATATATATATATATATATATATATATATATATATATATATAAAGTAATGATAACAATAAATAAAAACTGATACTGAAAAAAATCATAGAAAATAGTTAATAGCTAAGAAAATAGTTAAGTTGCCCGGAATAAAGTTATTGATATAGAACAATACAATCAAAGAGGTGAAAGTTATTTTAAAAAAAATCGTTTTAAGAATATATTTTTCTATATTGTTAGTTTTTTTTGTTTGTTTGTGATATTTTTACACATCTTAGCTTCTGCAAATCATTTTTGAAGAGTTTTTTTTACAAAGTGTTCATTTTTGTATAAATTAGTATATAAACTATAATTTTATTAAACCTTCAAGTATATAGAGAGTTATGTAATTATCTTCTTTAAATTTTATCTTTTTTTACCTGTTCAAACATAATGGTAGCTGCTCTACTTTAAAATTTAAAAAAAACTTTAAAGGAGTGCAGATACCATTATGGATCATGTTTGACAGGTGGATTTTTGATTTTTGATTAAAACGTCATCCTAAAGAAATGCAAAGTTTATTAATAAAACTCAAGTTTCGTCCAAAAATTAAAAATTGTTTTGAAATGGCAACCATATGAAATCGACAAGCCCTTAAATTAGAGGGGGTGTAAAATTAAAATATTTAAATGAAATTTATAATTTAAATGAAAACATGAGAATTAATTTGTTAAATTGCATAAATTTTTGCTGCATGGTTCTTATGGTGAACGGACGTGCTTTTTACTAAGTAAAAAAAAAAAAAAAAAAATTGCAAAGATGGCTCCAAGAGAAATTAATGAGATATTCTCAATTTTGAGTTCGAATAATAATATATGTGTATATTACTTAAATAATATCGCGGAAATATGCTCTCATCCAAAAGATGTTATTATTCAAGGATTTTTGCAACTTAGAGAAGCTGATATTTTTAATCTTAGAGTAACACTATTTACCGAAATTATAGAAAATTTTGATATGGATCAATTCTCTTCTATCAATATTACTCTTGACGCTGAAGATCCTGTTAGAAAAAACCTTAGAAAGCGTTATAAAATTGCAACATGTCTAGATGACATATATTTGATGTCGATATCATTAACAGAAAAACAGCTTCACAAAGATTTTGGTAAATTGGTATCTGGTTGCAAACAAAATAGTCAACAATTACATGATGTAAGTCTGTTGTCGACCTTAAAAGAACTCGTCGATTGCGTTAAAACAATAAAATTAGAAAACAAGAAAATTAATGACGACCTACATTTATTACAAGGAAAATATGATGAATTGCAGCAAACGTGCAAAAAAATCGAAAAAAATCAAAACACGTTGCTTTCAAACAGCTGTAGTAATTTATCATTTCAAAAACCGCTAAATACTAAAAAATCTTTTGTCTCTGATTCAATAGAAAATCATTCCTCAAATAATGAAAATACTTTAAATGATATACCTTTACATTTCCTTCATGATGAGACTACCATTATGGAGTCCAGTTTAAAAACATACGAAAACGGAAACCAAAATAAAGTCACCTATGCTAAAAAGGTTCAAATGCAGCCACCAATTATTGTAAAAAGAGAGGACTGGAAAAAAAAAGATTACTCCTATATGGTAGTCAAAAAAAACAATGCAACAAATAAAGTCCCAACAGAAAGGTCTATAATGAAGCCTATTTTTGGAAAAAAAGTTGCATTTAACAGAAACTCTATTGCAGGCGAACGTACGGTGCGAGAATCTTATATCTTTGTAGGAGGGGTCTGTAACTCAATGTCGGAAGAAGATCTATCTAACCACATCAAAAATGAAATAGGTTTTGAGCTTATTAAGGTAGAGCTTAACCGGGAAAATAAATACAATCGTTTATTCAAAGTTATCATAAAAAGTTATGAAAAAGACATAATCCTAAACCCTGATATTTGGGATACTAATATTATCGTTAAACCATTCAGGCTTCATCGTGTTACCTCAAGAAACGAAACACCACAGCAGAGTGCAGTTAATACGCTACACTCTGTACAACCAACTCAACAAATATTTTCTACATTCAAAGAACAACCATCCTTTGCACAGCAACATTCTTACTCAACTCAAATACTAAATTCTAATTCAAAATGGATAGAAACATAGAAAGTAAAACCTTTGAAAATATTTCTTTTTGTGCATATAACTGCCAAAGTTTTAAATCGAACTCAATTTATATTTCCGAACTGGTCAAATCATTTGATATTATTTTTCTATCGGAACATTGGCTTTTGAATATTGAACTTTTTGTGCTAAAAAACATGGCATTGCCGACACGTAAAGTATTTTTTCATGCGGCAGAAAAAAAAGCATTTGGAAGACCATTTGGAGGAAACGCATTCATTATTAAAAAAGATGTTTTACTGTCTCCTCACATAATCTATGAAGATGACAATATTCTCGCTATTAAAGGTAAAAATAAGTGTTACAATCTAGTCTTTATTGGTATTTATCTCACATCATGTCGAAATAACGAGGAATCCCTTTCAAAGTACAAACAACAGTTAAACCTAATCACTTCAATTATAAAAAACTACGAAGATGTAAGTGAATGTATTATTGCTGGAGATTTTCAGTCTTATCCCGAAACACTCTACGATTCTGAGATCCGTAATAATAAAAAACGCAATAAATTCTCTAATCAGCTAACTAATTTCATTAAATCAAATAAGCTCTCATTTATCGATATAATCAGTGGCGCTGGTCCAACATACACCTATCAGCATAAAACTCTATCTAACTCATCGTATATCAATCACATCGCAGCTCTAAAAGAGTCATCTTTATTATTTATAAATACAAGCGTTATTTCTCCTTCTCCTTTTAATTTTAGTGATCACTTACCAATCGCTACAAATATCGTCGTTACACATACTAATCTATCAACCGTAATAAATAGCATAATGCATAAATATAATTATATTTCAAAATATGCATGGAATAACGAAAAATTCATTAACATATATAATCATAACCTCTCCGTAGCTTTCAACTACTACACCTTCAATGAAGAAGAAATCGAACAAGAATTAAAACAAACATGCGAAAAAATCCAAAATGCTGCTTTGTTAGCAGTTAAGCAGTGCTTTAAACAACAAATCTGTAAGTATTCCAAATCATGGTGGACAACGGACCTTTAAAAATGCAAAGAAAATCTTTCATTTAACTATAAACAATGGCAAAAATCTAATTATAATAAAACACAAGAATGCATTGAATACAAAAGATACATCTTTTCACGCAAAAATTTCCGTAAAGCAGTTAAAGCAGCTCATAACAAAAAGATCCACGAAAAAACTATAAATATTGAAAATCTTCGAACCACTAATCCTCAGAGGTTCTGGGATAACATCCGTAAAATCAAAACTAAAGCAACAACTCGATTATTTACAATTAACAAATCGCAAAATATAAAAGATATCGTTCAAGAAATTAGACAACATTTTCAAACTCTTCTCAATACGCCTCTTATTTTAAATAATAACCATAATCCTTCTCAAATTCCATCTCTATGTAAAGAGCCTAATTCACTAATCATAACATCAGCTGATATTATAAATTGCATCTCACAATTAAATAGTAATAAGTCCCCAGATAGCTATGGGTTAAGTGCTGAACACCTTAAAAACTCTCATAATAATAATCTTCTTTTGTGGCTCGCTAAATTTTATAACAGTATTCTATCGAATGGAAAAGTACCAAATGATCTATCAACTTCAACAATTATTCCACTTGTTAAGTCATATAAAAAATCTCTTAATAATCCAGATAATTATCGAGGAATTAGTATTTTACCTATCTTTACTAAACTTCTAGAGTATCTAATACTACAAATATGTCCTAGTATAACAGATAGCCATTCCCATCAATTTGGTTTTAAAAAAAACAGTTCTACTCTCCTCGCAGAATTTTTACTGAGCGAAACTGTTATGCACTATAAAAACAATAACACGCCTTTATATATGTGCAGTTTAGATGCTAATAAAGCTTTTGACACTTGCAACTGGGATTTGCTATTTGAGAAGCTGTATTTCCAAAAAAAACTTCCGTTGTCTGTAGTACACACAATATCATCCCTTTATCATTCTGGTTCTGCAAACATATCCTATCAAGATGTTACCTCAAATCAATTCAGTCTATCACAAGGGGTGCGACAAGGGTCTATTCTATCGCCACATTTATATAACATTTATACTGAAAGCATCCTAAATGAAATTGTCTCAGAATGTAAAGTAGGATCGACAATAAATGGAATTTATACTGGTGTAATTGCATACGCAGATGATGTAATTTTGCAAAGCCCCACAATCTCTGGTCTGCAGGAACTGATTAACAGATATCAAACATATGGAGTAGCAAACTTTATCAAGCTAAACACTGAGAAAACAGAATTTCTGATTTTTGGAAAAAGTTATATTCCTAACAACGTTGTTAAAATTAATGGAGTCTCTATATATCTTCAAAATAAATTAAAACATCTGGGTTTTCAATGGGATAACGATACCAGCAAAAATAAAATTGCAACACTTCGAAATAAAAATTTAAATGAGCGTATAACTCAGTTTCAATCAGTTGCAAAAGCTCTAATTGACAGTGGAATTCGTTACTGCCAGCCATCAACAATTGTTCATCTGTACAATACATTAACAGTGCCGAAGCTTATATATGGTCTTGAACTATGTAAATATGATACTAATTTTCTCAGCAAAATAGACGCTGTTGGAAGAGCAGTCTTAAAATCATTTTTCTGTATTTCGAAGTACAGTAAAAATTACCTTCATTCTTTTTTTAAAATAGAAGATATCTCAACTATTCTCCTTAGGAACAAAGTTAATCTTTTTATCAGGCTGCTAAAAAATCAAACTTGTTACTCACTGATAATTAATCAAATACAGGAAACACAGAATAAAAAATCCTTTACAAACGAAGTATTTGATGCATGCAACACACTTGATTTAAATTTCATACAGTGCATGTTAAATGGCAAAAAAATTAAATTGACGCAACCCATCGTAGAGCTACAAACTAATATTATGCTAATATTGAAAGAAACGTTCCAGTTTTGGAATTTAAAAGAAAAGAGAGAGGCGTTTAAAATCTTGATGGAGGAGAATGTTCCTAGAACTCTGTCCCAATAATATGTGGAATACAAACCGGCTGTTTATAAGCATTTATTGCTAACAACTACAAGAGCCGTGTTGTTTTAGCTGATTTTTAATTTATTGTTTGACTATTTAAATATTATTTTACCTGTAATTTACTATCGGGTGATAAAGAGAAAATATAATAATAAATGCTAGACTGAAAACTTACTTTGAAAAAAACTCTGGTTCATCTGACAAACAGAAATTGTTTTTTTCTATCAAATTTTTATACCATTACTTGTAAGGTTCCTAAGGGCTCTGTTTTAAAACCACTTTTATTTCTGTTGTACATAAACAACTTATACTTAGCAACAAATCTTTTAGACTTAGAATTTTGTTTGCTGATGATTCCAATCTTTTTTGTCAAAGCAGAGAAGTTAAAACACTTTTTAAAATAGTAAATGAACAGTTATGTAAAGTTAATGATTGAATCGTATGCAACAAACTTTCACTAAATATGAATAAAGCAAGGTATAAACTTTTCTACCATCTCGGTGTAGTTAAGGCGATTTACAAAATATTCGAATACTTTTATTTGGAATTAGCATGGTTTTATCAGCATATTATGTCCATATAATAGGTCTTTAAATGCTATAATCTTTTTTGCTTAAGGTTTTTATAATATTTAAAGAAACTTTTCTTTTTTTTATATAATTTTCAAAACTTTTTACTACCCGTAATAGTGTTTTTAAAAAACACTATTTTGGAGTCTTTAGATCAATTCTGCTCATCGGCATTAATATGAATTTAGTTAAAATCTATTGAAAAAGTTCCTTAATTTACTACTGAACCTAGTTCTAATCGGTTCTGACGTATATTAACTATATATAGTTTTCAAAACACAATATTTCTATCAATTTTCACAAAAAATACTTGAATTCCGACCAAGAAAGAGCTTATAATTATAGAAAATTGCCAATAAACGATCAGAACAGATCATATTGTTAAACTATAATGTTCATTTCACCTAAAAAACGTATTAATATAAAATCTTATTCAAATTTGGACTGCGATTGTGATTTTAAGATGATTAAAAAAAAAAAGAATCATCGGTCTGGGTTTTTTCGCTTCAAACATTTATATTTTATGATACCGCAAAATTTATCATTTTAAGTTTTTTCGTCTTTTCATAATTTACAGACTAGACCATTTAACGGGAAAATGTCGTATTCATACAGACGCTCTAATATTTTAAAAGTGCTATAACTACACCGAGTTGTTGTTGTTTTTTTTTTTTAAGAGGAATATTTTCTAATTTACTTTTTTAAGTAAATTAGAAAACATTCCTCTTAAATTACTAAATCTTATAACTAATAATACTTATATTAAAAGGGAAACATACGTAAACTTATTTTGTAGTAAAACTGAAATAAATTTACAGTGGTATTTATATATAAATTGCATTGAAACAAAGGTCTTAAAAATATTACAATGATGTTTAAGGTTAAACCTTTTCTAATTATAACTTCCCTAAAAAATTTATATTTCTCTTTTATTCTCAGTTATCGGTCTTATTGTAATATAGTATAGGCTAATATTAGCTATACAAAACTACAGAAACTCTACAACAAACAAAAACATGCGTGCAGAATAGTATTTGGAGCCGACACAAATACTCCTCGCAAACCACTTTTACGTGTGCTTGGTGCATTAAATGTGTATAAACTCAATTAATTCTAAGTTTTACTTTTTATGTGTAAAACAAAATTTTTTTGTAAAATTTTTGTTATACACATTGTCAATGATCAAAAAACTTTAAAACTTTTTTAGTAAAACTAATCATAAGTAATTAACAAAGTTTTCAGATAACAACTTTGTTTTTTCAGATATCAACTTTGTTTTTTCTATATATAGTTTTCTGTCCAATTACATACCTTGGACCTTATCTGTGGAAGAAATTCTTTTATATGAGCCAGAACAGAAAATAGAGTGACAATCCCTCGTTTTAACAACAAGAAGGACCTCATTTAATTTTAGAAAATTGTAATAAAATAAAATAAATTATCAATATAAAAAAAATTGAACTTTCATAAGTTTTATGTTGTAAAGTAAGCATTTCAATAACCATGTTATATATTATACAAAGGGGGCTTGTGCCTGACCCTGAAGGAAGGGGGGTTTGTGCCTCACTTTAAATGTTCTTTATTTATTGAAAATAATGAAAAAACCATATGAAAAACTTCTTAACGATGTTAATGAATTCTTTTTAAGATTCTTTATCTTCTTTTTTAACAACTATCTTATTAACTAGTCTAACTAATTTAAATTTTCTTTAAATTATCCTATTAACTTATCTTTATTTTTTAGGTGTGATTGCTTTTTTTTTTTTTACGAATTTCTTTTGATTATATATTAGTAACTGATCTTAACATATTTGTATATAGTTTTAGAATGGTACAAAGTAATTTTATGTTTTATGTTAACATTTTAATGGTTATACACGCTTGCTGATGAAAGCACGTCAGAGTGTAGTGATAAGGAAAATATTGTTTTCTTTTAGCCCCGGTCATGTAAGGCATTGTATTCTTTTTTTAATGACAAATAAATAATAAATAAAATAAATATATAAATTGATCCCCTCCTTATTTGAGTTTAACTTTGAAAAACTAAGGTCTATTTTTGCAAATTTTACTTTTATTTTGAGGAACTAATTTAAGTCTTCTAATGTATGTACCTAAGTTTATGTCTTCTAATTTATGTATCTAAGTTCTACAAACCAACTTTTTAATTTTAGTTTGAAAAGTAAGGGATATTTACGAATGATATAATTTTAACAATTCTAAAAATTTCTAAAATTACACCATTAGTGTATATTCCTTACTTTTCAAACTAAATTTAAAAAGTTGGCCTTTAGGATGTTTTTGTTTTTAGATATTTTTGTCAATTAGTGTATAGTCGTACACATTTTAAAAAAAAGAAAGGCAATAAGACTTTTAATAACTATAGCAAATGCTTGGTTGTTTATGAAATTTTAAAAATGCTATTAGTATTAATTTAAAATAACATTATTATTGATTTATGCTAATTTATTTAATTGCATTTTATAAACAAACAAAAAAAAAATTTTGACGATAGTATTGTGGAGTTCCAAATTATTTATATTTAACACAAATACAAAATTTATCTTTGATTTTTGTTATTACTGTTGGTAATCTGTCACTCTAAGTTTTCAACAGGCTTTCAATTACAATTGTCAATAACTCATCATTAACAATTATCAAAACCAATTTTTTCAAGTGGCAGGCCTGAAACACGCTGTCATGAATTTAAAAAAAGACTGATTGATGCAACAAAATTGTTGAATGAACTTTAATAACAAGTAGATTACAAAAATAATTTTATGTTTGAAAGTTCCATTCATGAGCTCAGTTCAGATTTTTACTTCAAAAGTGTTTTTAAAATGTTAAGTGTTATCTTTTTTTTAATGCATTAAGCATATCGGAAGTTTTTTATTTTGTAACCTCAATAAGGCATTTAAAATATTTGTAATGCACGCAGTAGAGTTTTTAAAAATCAAGTTCCTACAATTACAATACTCAATGTCTAAATATTTGAATTTAATTACAATATTCAATGTTCAAATATCTAAAAGTGTTGCCTCATTTACTCAGATTTCAATAACGACACAGGTAGTCTTATATATATGGTTCCGCTGCGTTTAAGTCATCGAGTTGACATGCCAATAATAAAACGTAATATTTATTTAGTTTATTAAATGCATTTTATTAAGTCCTACTGCCTTCATTAAAACGTACAGTAATGATAATGATTATAATAAATTTACATCATATAAAAATAACAATTAAAAATAATGCTATTTATCTGAATGTGTGACGACTGAACGATCTTTGAAGTTTGTGAATAAGTTTAGGAAATTTTTGATTGGTTCCGTATATAACTGGGTTTAAAACAGAACTCGTATATGTCAACCAATATGCAACTGTTGTCCATTCATTGTTTACTTGTATCCCGGTTGAAGCAACATACAACCAAGTAATTTGGTTTGGCAACATGAATATTGCAAAAACAACTACAATAGCAATAAAAAGTCTTAACAAAGCTAATGTGTGTTTTGTTCGCTCTCGGAATACTTTTTCACATTCTGTAATACAAGAAAATTTTCTTACGCTAAAAAAGTTTTGCTTTTGTCCATCGTCAGTTTGTGCAGTTTCGTTTTCAGAATACGATAGAAAACTATTGAATGAGCGCTTAATTTTAGCGCGGTTATTACTGTTCAATTTTTTCCATATCATGAAATATAAAACGCAAATTATAGGCAGCGGTATTCCGTATTCAACAGCAAACAAAATTATTGAATATAATGAGCTACTTTTTTCGGACCAAGATTCTTTACAATAGGGTTGGCCATTTATAATAACTATATGTAAAGTCCAACCGTACGGAAATACAATGCTAAAGGAAATCAAATGAGATATAACAACCACTCCTAATTGAAATTTTTGAAGTTTAAAATATTTAAACGGATAAAGAACTGCTACAAAACGTTCCAGTGCCAAAAGTATTAAAGCTAAAGACATTGATATAACAGCTATTGTTGATAAAGGATGCAAAATGTGACAACCTATGCTTCCAAATGGAAAATATCCCATTTCTATTTCAGCAATATCAACTGGACTGCTTGATAAAACTAATGTCAAATTGCATACTGCCAAGTTAGCAATAAATTTTCCTGAAATATCTTTATTTCTTCGCCGCTTTCTTCTCTTCTTTACTATAGAATGAATTAACCATATATTACCAATTAAAGCGAATAACAAAATACTTATGTGTGCAATATAATGCAGTTCTCTTGATATTTTTTTTGATGCACTGTCATTGACTAAGGTATCTGTGTCATTGACTAAGATGCCTGTAGCATTAATCATTTTTTTAGTTGGTCTGAAAAATATTCAACAATAAAAGTCAAAATTTGAATCAAAAAAAATATCATTGTTACAATTTCGGAATCAATATGCTTTTAACTAGCTTCCCTTTATTAATTCAATATTAATAAAAATTATTGTTAGACAAAATTTAATTAACTAAAAAACAAAACTTATCTGTTACCCTAGATAAAACAACCTAGATAACGCATTCTTGTAACCTGTAATATTGGACGCATGTAACACTTAACTGTATCTAGCTAATTTTACATTAAAAAACCCTATAAAAATCATCTTTTTATATAATAAGATATACCAGAAAATAAATAATGAAAACTCTTATTTTAAAATCATAATAATTCTTAAAATGAATAAATAATAAAACTAAGTTTTAACTAAAATAATGATTTACAGATTAACAATTTATTTAACATCTATTATAAAATATAATTGTAAATTAAATTAAGACTTAAAATTCTCAATTAAAAATGTCAAGAGCTAAAAAATGAAACAAAAAAATGTCCCACTTCTAATACTACTGAATACTAACACAAATAAATTGCTCCTATATATATATATATATATATATATATATATATATATATATATATATATATATATATATATATATATATATATATATATATATATATATATATATATATATATATATATATATATATATATATATATATATATATATATATATATATATATATATATATATATATATATATATATATATATATATATATATGTATATATCCAATATATCCTATAAATAGTTTATTTAGTTATCTTAATAATAATAAACTTTTTTTAAAGTTACATAACACTTAGCCACTTTATTGCCCCAGTCGTACCCAATCTCTCTAATTAAAATACTTTTACTGCAAACTGTTTTGATGCAAACATTCTTAGTTATTCAAATTCTATTTTGTAAACAGATTTTCTGATGAAAAGTCATTTTTCTAAAAATCACCTCTCTAATATATAAATATACTTCTTTCAAAAAATAATAATAATAATAGTTTTATGAATATAAATGTTTTAATATTTTATTATTTTTTACTATGCTTTATTGTTAATTAAAACTTTTGAAAACGAGGCAGCTTAGCTATTTTAGAAATAATCAAGCCACTAAACTAAACATTTGACGTTTCAGCTACAATGAAGCTCTCAAAATTAAAATTAAGAAAATTAAACTGATTCATCTAGCTTTGCTTTTCTCTCAGCAATTAAAACCCTTAAGCTATTTTACACTCGATGAACCTATCCAGTTTTCCTATAATAGTTTTCGCATCACAAAAGCTATAAACTTTAAAGTGATTGACGCAATTGTTCATAGTAATCTTGTCAAGCTTTAAAAACTGAAGTTGATTTTGAAGTGTTTATAAAAACGACAGCGTACACTAAAATACTTTAAAAATTTTTTCTAATAATATTTCAAAAAAAAAAATGTATATATTATAAAACCGTAAGATTTGGCGCAACGTATTCCGATAGCTTAAAAATAATGTTACAATAGAATAATTGGTAATATATAATATAATAATAGTATAATAAAATATATTATATAAAATAGTTATTATAAAATAGACAATAAAAAAAGGTTATTGTAAAGTGTTTCGAAGCGGTAAAAAATTTTAAGTGTACACAAGTGTACGTAACATTGTGTTATTTCTGCTGGGCACGGGTTGACTAACTTCCACCCATCCTCTTATACAAATCATGGTCGCATTAGCGAGCAGAAATAATTTTTAATGTAACATTCATTTGCTTGTAAATAAAAATATTTATAAATTTTTAATTATAAATATTTATCCGTTTGCTTATTTATGTTTTTAATCAAATAATTATTTTTATCAAAAGATTTAAAGTTTTATAAATAAAGCAACAGTAAAAATTATAATCCAAGCAAAAAATATCACAAAAAAATTCCTGATAAGAACAATTTATTTCACTTTAAAATTCATTTATATTAACTAACAATAAAAAGAATTATAATAATAAAGAAAACAATAATACAAAAAATATTCTTAGATTATAATAGTGATAAAACATTTTAAATAAAAAATGCACAAGAAATAAACAACCTTTAGACAAAAACTCAGCATGATACCTTTTAATATTATATGCATGTATTAGTATAAATAGTTCAAATTCAAGATCATTTGATAAAAAGAACTATATAAAATCATCGAAACAATCATTCGTTGTGAATGCACTTAGCAAATGCACTTTAAAAAATTCTTTTTATGCAAGTTGGAATGAATTCAATTGGCATTCTCCAAAATCGCACGTTTAATAATTGCAAATTCAAACATAAAAACCAAATGTCCATCCCACCAAAAAAAAATATTTTTAATAACATAAATAAAATATATATTTAAAAATAAAACACAAAAATAAACATCATTATAAAACTCTCATATCTAATAATAATCTCTTATCGAATTTTCAAAAGTTTGGTTACTAACTGTATTAGTTAAGTTATTGTCTGAGTTTTGCATTAAATAAAAAGAAAAACAACATATAGTTAAAAAAATTATAGAATAAAATAAATAAAAAGACACAATGAAGTTTAAACATGGAGAAACAGTTTGCTATTTCCTGGAAAAAAAAAGATTTATATTTTAAAAGTATATATAAACAACAAATACAGTTTTTTTAATGTAAATAGCTACAGTACCCTTAACAAAAATTCCCAAATTTATGCGTGCGTGTAAACACCCACATTTAAAACGTCATATATATATATATATATATATATATATATATATATATATATATATATATATATATATATATATATATATATATATATATATATATATATATATATATATATATATATATATATATATACATCACAAATAAGGGGAGTGCGTACACATCGATTTACTCAAGTAATAAAGGTACGAGTGTATCAAGAAGAAATATTCTCTAATATGATGAATACACAGAAGTAAATTATTTTTTAAATATTTGTTTAAGTTTGCAGAAGTTAATACATTTTAAGTCTGGATCACAGACGTAACGTATTTTGTATGGTTGCTAAAACGATAATTAATTACGATAAGTTAAAAACTGTTCCTCTTTTTCAAAAGCTTTTTCAAAAATATATTGTTAGACATGTATAAATCATGCGTTAAAAAAGTTACGGTCTTACTACCAAAAAATAATAGAAAAACGGGAGTGTTCAATAAATATTTTACAAAAATAAGAGTGCGTATGCCAGGCGTTCCCTTATAACATTTTTAGAAATGTTGACAATATCTCAGAAATAGGTGAAATAAACTTTTAATTTTGTTTATTTTTCTAATAAGTTATCATTTGGAATTTATAAAACGAAAAAAGTAATTTGTTTGTCTTTTTCAAAACATTAATTTGTTTGTCTATCGAATAATAAAATAACTCAGATTTTTATAATATATATATATATATATATATATATATATATATATATATATATATATATATATATATATATATATATATATATATATATATATATATATATATATATATATATATATATATATATATATATATATATATATACACACACACACACACACAGATGTAAATGTTGTAGCTATTGCATAAGTAGTATATCAAAAGATAGTCTTACCCTCAAAACATTCTTATATTCCATTTGCAATTATTTGCAATCACACTCCGAATATTTTATTGAAACAAGACTTTTAAATGCGTATCAATAAAAGTATAATGTATCTCGCAATTTCAATAAATACATTTCTGAACTCTAAATTGCAACGGAGAAACTGAAAATAGAATTTGGAAATTTATCGACTTAAAAAATTGAGATCTATTTCCAAAATTTGTAAAGACTGAATCCCTGGCTTACATTCATTGAACCAAACAGTGGTGTAGCAAAAGCTAATGTCTCTTGAACTAAAATTTCAATTTAGTTAATTTAGCTTAATTAATTAAATTTAATCGTGAAACCCGCGTTGTTAAGATGATTTCCATATTAATTAGTTAGGATGTTAGGATGACGCCTAAAAACGCATAACTTTATACTCTATTTAAGGCGCTTTTTCCCATGTTCATTTGCGTAAAAAATACTAAATACAAAAGTAACATTATAAGAGCGTGTTATGAAAAGTTTATAAAAAAATATTCGGTTGGGGGTTAATCATGCCAATAGGATTTATTAAATCAAAAATACAACAAAAGAAAAATCGTTTGATATTTAATATTATCATCTAGAACAGAGCTGGAAAAAACCCACTTTTAAAAATAATATATATATATATACATATAACATTTAAAAATAATATATATAACATTTAAAAATAAAACCCAAAAAACCTAAAAAACTCTTCAAAACCCAAAAACCGACTTTCTTAAATAATAAGGTTTTTGGGTTTTGAAGAGTTTTTTAGGTTTTTTGGGTTTTATTTTTAAATGTTATATATATTATTTTTAAATGTTATATATATATATATATATATATATTATTTTTAAATGTTAGATATGTTATTTTTAAATGTTAGATATATTATTTTTAAATGCTAGATATATTATTTTTAAATGTTAGATATATTATTAAAATGCAGCTGAAAAAGAATCTTTTTGAAAGCGAATCAAAATGTTTTTTTGTAAATAAACTTAATATTAAAAGAAATTTTTTAATATAAATATAAATTTTAAGATAAAAAGAAAATCGGAAATTTTATCATTTCAAAAAACTTTAAAAACAAAAAACCCAAAAAATGGGAAATATTTATTGGTTTTTTTAAAAACACCCATAAAATCCTTTTTGTCTAGCCCTGATGTAGACCATTATCATATGACACCAATTAGTTTTTATATATAAACAATTTTTAGAAAAATCTCGAAGCTATTTTAAATTAAGCAATTTATTAAAATAAAGAGCGTAAAAGGCTGAAAGTTTCGTCACATCTAATGACTATATATGTTACTACATATGTGAGTTTTTCACTATATATGTGAAATTAGTGCAAATTAGTGCAATTAAAGTAGTTAAATTGCATCATAAACTGATTTATTCAATTTTAGGTCTATTAAAAATAATTCTGTCGTAATCTGGTGGTTACTTAATACTCCATATGCAGAAAAAACGACACTTGCTTATTTGAAGAAGTCAGTTCAAATCGAACTTAAAAAACGACACTTGCTCATTTGAAGAAGCTCATTTCAACGAAAATTTAAAACAATGTGCTTAGAGGTATAGATAAAATTTTTTTGCTATCATGAGTTTAAAAAAATTAAAAAGTTTAAAAGTACACTGGCCTTTTTATCTTAGCTGCAACCAATAAACTTAAACGCGTTGTTAATATTATCATCTAGACCAGAGCTGGAAAAAACCCACTTTTTATTATTTAAGAAAGTCGTTTTTATTAACACGAAAAACGTTTTTATTAACACGTAACTTCTTTTTTCATTAGGTGTTGACCCGCAAAGAGCAAAGTTGCTCTTTTGCGGGTCATCTAATGAAAAGAATTTTTATTAACCCGGTTGATCATCTTTAGTTTGCGGTTGTTTGCCTGTCGTTTGGAGAGAAAGTCTTTCATGCTGGTGGTGTTATTTTGTTTAGCTTTTTTTTCAATCTTTTCTCCCATTACTTTAAAGCTTCCGGCTTCTCATCATTGAATCTTGTATTTCTTAAAAAGAAAAATTAATATAATTTTCTCTATTTTATTACCTTTGTTGTTGTGCGTATGTTACTTATCCGCTCTTAATCAACTTAATTCTTTTCATCAACAGAACCTTCGTTTACCAAACAAGTAGCGTGCATTATTAACTTTTGTGCTACTTTCTACCTATCAGTACGTTGAATCTGAAGTACTTAATGTGGTCATTAATCTGCATGTGGTCTTAACTTAATGTGGTCATTTGAAATGATTTTGCTACAAAGTCAATTTCGTCACGTTCAAAAACTTGGAGATCTCAACAAGATTTGATGGGATCTTTTTGCCATAAGAAATTGAGGAAAAAGCAAGTACTCAGCCAGTATTTGGTTCTAATAAGACGTCTTATGAACGTTCAAAATACGTTTTTTTATAACTAAATGCCAGCTGGTTAGTTAAAAAACATGCTTTCGACTTCTATTGCTTAAGTTGAATACATCTTAAAAATTTCTTGAACTTTTAGAATTTTTTTTTTTTTTTTCATTCTATACATAATTTTTTCGTGTGCAAGTTTTTTTTATATTTTGACCAGCTTCGACGTATTCTTCTATGCACAAGTTCCACAAGCCATTTCATTAAATTACATAAAGATTTACTTATGTTTAAAGATATAAAATAATCTTTATTGGATTTTTAAAGCTTGCAGTATTAAAGTTTTTGCAACATTGCAAAATGTGACTTGTGTTTTAATCTATTTTACTGCTTGGAGATCTATTGTTAGCATTGCAAAGATATTACTGAGTCTTCGAGTTAAATTCTCTTGTTGTCTCTTGAAGTCTCTTTATTAAAAGTTCAATAAAAAATGTTTTTATTGAATTGTTAATAAAACGAAACTTTTTATATAAATTTCAATAGGAAGACAGACGCAATAGACTTTGCAATGTTTGTTTTGTTATATCAAAATATCGAGAAGACACACACACAAAAAAATTGATGTCCAATTTTGTTTTAGATTTCTTGATACAGGTTGCATTTTATTTTGCAATTGTGACGTAAACTTATTTTTGTGTAAGTGTTATAACTAAATTTAAACACATTTTGTGAAGGCGTGAAAAAAAAAATCTTTAATGTTTCAAAACAATGATTCATAACAACATTTATCAACTATTGCTTACATTAATTAATTAATAAATTTCAATATATTTAACTTTTATAACCTAATTGAATTTTTCGCACTCCTATAGTTCCTTGTAAAAATAAAATTATTTACACAATCGCTGCTTTTCAAAATTGGATACCCCTTCCAGAGCCATGCGGTGGCATGGGACAATGAAGCTATCGCTCCAGGGATTTCGAACACGCCTATCTAATATTTTAAATTAGTTAATTATTTTAATACTATAAAAAGAACTTTTATATTTCTTACGGTTCTTCTATTGATAAGTGTAGTGTAATGAGACTTTCGCGAAAAAAATGCATTCACGCCGAAAAAATTTCGCGCAATTTTCTGAAGTATGATTTTAGTCTGATTAAACCAGACTAAAAATCATACTTCAGAACATTTAAAACTCTTTGAATTTAAGGTAAAAGTTGCGACGACTATGATCAGTTGGTGCTTATTAGTCGATGTTTATTAGAGGGTGTTGGTCAGCAATGTGTTCATAATACGTCATGAATCAGAGGGTGGTGGTCAACAATGTGTTCATGACACGTCATGAATTAGAGGGTGGTAGTAAGCAATGGGTTAGAGTAATTATAATTACTTTTTAAAATGACTAGTTATTAAAAGATTAATATTAATCTGCACAAACTGCACAAAAACTGTAAAGTTAATAAAACATCTTCATTTTTTACAAAACATGACGACAACTCCGTTATGTGTGCTTGAAAAACTATCTAAAGCAGCATTTATGAATGAAGTTCAAAAATTTCCAGTATTGTATGACAAGTTTAATAAAGATTTTAAAGATAAATGGAAAAAGAAAAATGCATGGGAAGAAGTTGGTCGTCTTTCAAACTTATCTCCTAATCCAGCGGAAGAGAAATATAAAAGCATTCGAAGTAGTTATGGAAGGTGGCTGAAATCAAAAAAAAATATTCCGTCAGGTTCTGGAAGGAACTCAGTTCCACCTCAGTTTCTTCAGCTCGATTGGCTAAATACTTTTATAGAACATTGCGAAACAACAACCAGTATTTGTTTACCTTCTGACTCCAGATTAGAAACATCGAATTTGAAAGAAAACATTGACATGGTATGTGAGCAAGTTGAAAATACTCATCATCCATTTAATAATGATCATATATCTGAAGATGTGACCACAGAAAACAGCTGTATAAATACTTGCGTGCAAGGAGAGTCAAGTGAGTCAACAATTCACGCTAATAACAAAAAAAAAAAGAAAAAAGTTGGATTCTGATGATTTACTTGATAGAACCTTAGTGAAAACATTAGAAAAAATTAACTCCAATATTGAAAATCCGACTCTTGAAGAGCAGGATGAAGATTATTTATTTATGAAATCATTAGTTCCGCAACTTAAGCAATTAAACAACTATTCTAAAGCCTTGGCTAAAGTTCAAATACAAACATTACTTCTTAAATTAGAGTTTCCAGACAGAGGTGAAACTATCTAATCTATTACTCTACTTAACTGGTCAATGTGGAAAAACTGTACTTTAGAAGTAAATAAACTATGAAGTAACTGTTGATAATTTGTTTAAAAAGACACATTCTGGCCTACTATTCTTTTTACCCTATTGATGCAAGAAACATAACATTTTAAGTAAAATTAGATGTGAAGTTACTTTTGATTAATTATTGGAATAGACTAAATTTGGCTTACTATTTTGTTAAGTCTATTGATGTGATAAACTATAACTTATTTTAGAAAATTATGGAGGTATAAAATGTTAATTATTAGGTAACTGTTGAAGTATATCTTTAAACTATTAAAAAAAAAATGTAAATTATTGGTTTGTTAAATATAACATATTTTCTTTTATTAGGAAGTTTTGTTTATTACATACATTTTAGTTATTAACTGATTGTGGCCACACGATTGAACATGGTCCATTTGCCACGAAAGTCTTCCTTCACATGAATTAAAATAATCTTTATAAGTATTTCTTATTGCAATTGCATCAAAAACAGATCTATTACTTGTTGATTTTGAGAAATCAAGCAAACACCCTTGATCTTGTAATTCTTTTCTCCAATCTCCTTGAATAACAATTCCTGAATGACTTTTACTATCAACAAAACCAGTAGGAATATAATGCGCTCCATCTGTTAAACGCGAATAGTTGTGAAGACAAACAGTAGCCTTTATTATATGTTCCACTTTAAATGGCTTTGCTTTAATTGGATATCTGTATATTCTCCATCTAGCTGCTAAAATTCCAAAACTATTTTCGATTGTTCTACGTGCTCTAGATAAGCGATAATTAAAAACTCTTTGCTGAACAGTAAGATTTTTACCTGGGTACGGTTTCATTAACCATGGTTTAAGTGCAAATATGTCATCTCCAACAAGGACCAGTGGAACTTTAGGATCAAATTCAGAAATTTTTGGTAAACTAAAATAACCCTTATTAAATGCCCTCCCAAACGTGCTCGCATTTAAAATGGCAGCATCATTATCCCTTCCATAAGCCCCAATGTCAACCATTGTGAAACAATATTTAGCATCACAAATTGCTAATAAAACCATGCTGTAAAACTCTTTGTAGTTATAAAAAGAAAATCCAGATTTTGCAGGTGCTTCAATGTGTACATGCTTTCCATCAATAGCTCCTATACATTGTGGAAAAGTCCAATTTTTATCAAACTCTTTAATAATATTTTGCCATTCTTTTACATCATTTGGGGCTCGTAGAAAGACTTTCTTGAGAACTTTCCATATTGCACAACAAGTTTCTTCGATTATATGGCAAACTGTAGCTCTGCCAACTCGAAAATAAAATGACTGAGTTTGTTGTGATTCTCCTGTAGCAAGGTATCGAATTGTTATAATTAATCTTTGCAACCGACATATAGAATCTCTAGTGGGACAATACTTTTTCGTTAATGAAGATCCAATTAATGACAAAAGATGTTCAAGTCTGTCAGGTGACATTCTTAAATATCGATAAAAAAAATTCTCTATCAAATAGCTTCATTTCTTTCACCAAAGAACTAAATGCACCTTGCTGAACACGTTTTTTAAATAGTTCTCTCAACCAAAACTGATGTTTTCTTTTTTTTTTATCCTTTTTCGGCGTTTTAAAATTAAAAGTATAACAAAAAGTCGATAGTTCAGAGTAGCATAATTTCTAGTGGCGGCTATTTTTTTTTGTTATTATATAAAAAATTTAGCGGCAATTCAGTATAATGGAAACACAACTTTGCACAACAATTTACCGCACAACAAATCAAAGGTATGTTGTACAACTGTTGTAAGACATTTCTACAACTATTGGAAACCAAGCTTTAATAAAATTTGTGTACCGATTTTTTTTTAATTTGGGTTTAGATATCGAACTTTTCATTAATTTGCAAGTTTGAAATTTTTAAAGTTAATAAAATAAATTTTTATTTCATATCGTGGCCCCTATTTATAAAACAAATTAGTTACTAAAAATAATAAAAATTGTAATCTAGTTATTTTAAAAAACAAAGTTAAAAAATCTGATACTGAATTTAAACAACTACTCTGAATTTTTCTAGTAGACTATAAATTAAATTACATATACATCAGCTACAATATGAACTGACTTGTTTATATGTATCATCTGATTGGCCTTCGCTTTTTTCAAACAATACATTCAAAAAGTTATTTTTTCCAGTGAAAACACAATTTTTTTACTTAACAATTTAAGTTATTATGCTTCATCTTGTTTTGTTTAATTATTATTTAATCTAATATATATTTATATTTGGCATAATCATAGTATATAATCACATTTCAAGGTTTTCGTTATAAGATCATTACAATTTTCTTTTAGCCCTTGAATACAAAACTTTGTATTCAAGGGCTAGCCCAAATGAGGCCCATTTAGGGTCCATATATGAAGTTAAAAAAGCGTTAAATTCCATCTTATTTTCTAAATTTAAATGCCATCCGATCGTGCGCGCGATGGTATGAGGTCCTCCTATGGTCCGCGCGATGGTATGAGGTCCTCCTATGGTCCGCGCGATGGTATGAGGTCCTCCGCTAGGCAATTAGCTGGAAGAGTATAAATCACAACTCTGAACTTACTTTATGAAAACCCCCCTTTACGTTTCTCGAATATAATTATGGTCCAACTTTTCTCAAATTTTAAACTAAATTCGAATTAACTCTTTTTTGAAAAATCTTTTTTTTATTTAAAGTCAAATCATTTTAAAGACTCCGTAATAGTGCTATCAATGTCATGATTTGGTGGGTAGTAAAAGAGTTTTGAATTGTATTTGAAAATAATTTTTTTTTATGTATAAAAAAGTGTATACACTATTTGAGTTTTTATAAACCCGCAAGCAAAAATGTATATAAAATAACAGTTTTTGAACCAAACACATTATATGTTTACATAAACGTATAAAAAAAAAAACTTACCATTTACATATACCATTTACTATTTATATGATAAGATTACATTCACTATTCTACTACTTTTTTTTTTTTTTTTTTTTTTTTTTTATTGTTTCAATTCACCTCATCAAGGCCGAGAAGGCCACTACAGACGAGGAGGCTACTTATTTGTGGTTATAACCCTCTCTCAACTCTATAACTCCGAAACACGAACCTTGACAAACAAGGCCGCTGCGCGGAGAAACAAGTTGAGCGCGGTACTACCAGGGACGTGGTGGAGATCGAACTCGGAACCACTCGTTTATGAAGCGAGCGTAAGCAAACTTGCAAACAAGTAAGTAAGTAAGTAAGTAAGTAAAATATCATTTCCATATTACAAGATAACTCGGCTAAATTATTATCGATATTAGTGATGTTAGTTCTAAAATAGTATGACAAAATGCAATGGCATTTGTTAGGATCTTTTTTTTTTTTATATATATTTTGTTAAGTGATACATTTGATGTTTATTTATAGTTGACAAAATGTAATAAGTACTATGTAATAGTTATTTTCATTTTATTATAAACTCACAAGTAATAACAAATATTTATTTGTTGTAAATTAAACAATTTTAAAATTTGTACGGAAAAACGCATTATTAACTCTTGTTATATTGCGTAAATAAGGTGCGTTTTTATTGGAAAGAATACTTGTGGTTTGAATTTTAATATTTTGTGTAATGGCAAAAAGTTACGCTAGCGTGGTGGCGCCTGGATCCAGTTCAGATCTTGGTAAAGTGAATCTTGGCGTGTTTAAAACAACATCATTGAACGATACTTATCCTGTCTTACTTTGTAGATATGGCGATCTACACTGTAGTGTCGAAGATTTCTTAGAAGTTCTGGCAAAAAAAAACCTTTTGTGTTACGTCTGGGGTGTTACTAGACATTACGCTAACCGATTCTTTGAGTTTGTCGTTAATAACCCAAGCAAAGTAAATATTTTTCTTGAAACAGAAATTGTTATAAAGGATGTATCTCTAGCAATTACCCAGAAATTTATTAGAAATGTACATGTATTAGTGCAAAAGATTCCTATCGGCCTACTAGTCAACGGAGGTTCAACACCATTAACCACACTAGGAAAATATCTAGCCGCAGGGAGAGGTGAGTTTGATTCGTTCAGTTGTCAAAAGGTTAACATACATGGTGAAACCATATATACCGGAAATGTCATCATTGTTATAAGAAACTGGCAAAATCCCCATCTTAATCCCTTACCAAGGTACCAAAACATAGACGGTTACACATTGCGATACAAACACAACGGGCAACCTCAAACATCGCCAAAAGTTGAAACTCTAACCAAACAGTCAAACTTCAAAGCTTCAGTAAAAAGCTCAACTGAAACAAACACAGCATTAAACAAAGAACAACCGTCGCCAAGTACTCAAATCGAAATGGTGGAGAATAACGTGGATGGTAACGAAATTATAAATGATACTGAGAAGAAAACAAGAGAGTCTTCCAAAGAAACAAATATATCGAGTAGGAAGAGAACAAAGAACAAATCAGAGTATTCTTTTAAAATTAAAAAAAGCAGCAGTGAAGTGCAAAGCGAAACAGATACTGAAGAAATAAATACCGTGAAGCTGTCGGAAAAAGAAAAAATGGATACTGACCCGGTTATAGAAGATGAGCAAGATTTAAATTTCAATTTTGACGTTGACGAGATTTTAAATTGTGCTGAAAAAATGTCGTAAGATTTCCTTTTTATTTTTATCTTTTTATTTATCTCTCAAATTTCTTTCCTCGTTTCTAAACTCTAAACCTTTTCTTTTTTTGTTCTCAAATCTATAAAACTTTTTCGAGTCTTTTACGTTCTATTTAAATTTTTCTTTTTCGATCTTTTTAGTTCTATTCTATAAAAATGCATGTGAAAATTTTGTATAAGCGCTTAAGCTGTCGTAATCTGTATTGTTGTAGTTCGCGCTTTTGTGTGAAATGTTATGGTCCAGTGCGTCCATCTGTTCGTAATACGTCATTTAAATCGAAAACTCGTGCTTTAAGTTTAAGTTTTATATGTACGTGTTTTTTATATCAGGTTGTAAAATTATCATATTTATGTTTAAGTTACACGAGTTTTCAAATTAGGAAAACTGATCCTCTCCATCATGACACTTAATGTTTTAACGTGCAACATAAACGGTCTTAACGACCAAGAAAAACGCGACAATTTTTTTGGGTTTCTAAAAAAATCCTCTTTTGATCTTATCCTCCTACAGGAAACACACTCTGGACCTTCCACTGTTAAACAGTGGGGAGACGAATGGACTGGCGAGTCCATTTGGAATTCCGGTCCAAGTCATAACTGTTGCGGGGTGGCAATACTCTCTAAATCCAACATTTCCTTAAACGAACTAAAAAGGGATAATAACGGTAGGATATTAAATGTCTGTTAATAAAGGATACGAAATTTTCTCCGAGGTTGAATTTTCGGAGAATTTGCAGCAGAAACGCACGATCGACTTTGTCAAACGCCTTTTCTTGGTCTATTGATAAAATGAAACTAGGTAGATTTTTAAATTCAGCGTAATCTATTAGATCACGGACAAGGTGTAAATTTGAGAATATTGTTCTACCTGGAATTCCGCAAGTTTGATTTGGTTCTATAATTTTCCCCATTACTTTTGCAAGTCTTAGGGCCAACGCTTTTGTGATTATTTTGTAATCAGCGCCGATTAAGGATATGGGCCTCCAATTTTTGCATTCAGTGAGATCTCCTTGCTTGGGAATTAGTGAAATTATTGATTTTTTCATAGAGTGGCTGGTATTTTTTTCTACAAAAAGTATTTCGTAAGCAAGCTCTTCAAAATCTTTTTCTAAAATGTGCCAAAAAGTTTTATAAAATTCAGCTGGAAGTCCGTCATAGCCCGGGGATTTTCCGTTTTCAAATTTAAAAAGGGCTTCTTTTAACTCCGCGCCGGTTAGGCGGGTGTTTAAAAATTTGTTTTCATCATCACTCAAATGTTTAGTGATGTGTGACAAGACATAGTTTTGGCTGTCTTTGCATAAATTTGTTTTGGTGTAGATGTTTTTGTAATAAGAAACGAGGGATTTTAAAATCTCGCCAGGTTCACTCGTCAATGTTCCGTCGATTCTGAATTGTGGTTTCTTATCAGCCCCTTTTCCCACCGAAAGGGGAGTTAGACAAGGTGACCCACTCTCTCTTTTGTTGTACGTCTTTGTCGCCGAAGCTCTTGCTTTGGTGGTCAGAGCGGACAGCAGAATAGAGGGTTTCCCTTTACCAGGAACACCGAAACCGCTTAAACTACAGCAGTACGCAGACGATTCGAACTTTTTTGCCAGGGACGTAAAATCAGTCCGCTTTTTTTTTGAAGCAGTAAAACTTTTTGAAAAAGCAAGTGGTTCAGTGATCAATACCTCAAAAACCAAGGGTCTTGCTCTTGGGGGCTTTGATCCCAAAATGTACCCGGAATTAGACAACATAGAGTGGACTAATAACACCGGTTTCAAAATTCTAGGTGTTACGTTTTACACCAGGCTGAGTAATACTACCAATTT